CCATCAACCCATGACTGTTTTATACGTATTTCTGTTTAGCGACGTCTGGTTTCATGTAGTGTTGATCCATTAGCACTGAGGTCATGGTAACCACTCTGTCGCCCAGGTCTGCCTGCAGCTACTCTAATATTTGTTAGGTTTTCTGCAAAGCACACACCACGCCCCTCTTGTGCTTAGATATACTAGGCAACAGTCCAGCACTATCACTTGGGAAAATACGAAGAAATAAATTCTTTAAGCACAAAGATAGGAAACTAGAAAGCAAAACGGGTCCAGGTTTACAGCCTGCAAAGAGCTGACGCGGAAGGCCGAGTACTGCATGGGCGTGGGGCCACTCAGGCCAACTCAAGGTTTCAGTGAATGAACGCCTCGAGCCATGTTGTTTATTTTGCATTCACAAATAAATGTTAGCAGGTCTGTAAGTGACAGAGATCAACTGGATCCAGTTACGTGTCCCCGACCACGCAGCACAGCACGTAGACGCCATTCTCCACTGGTCTGCGAACGTGGCAGTCCTCAGCCCTCTCCCTCAGGGAAGGCCCGGGGCCCCGGCCTGGGACGGGAGGGTCTCAGCACCCAGGACTCACACTCATGGCGGCCACGTCATTTTCATAGGCCTCGCGAACTTTCTTCATGATCTCCTGCTCAGCCCGACAGCAGTTCTCGATGGAGCCCTTCACGGTGATGGTCCTCTCGGGGTTGTAGAGGGTGAGGTCCTGCAACCTATGGGAAGGAAGCGCCAACAGTCAATCCCTGACAGCCAGGACCAAGAGGCCACCGAGGCACGACTCCATTCCCGACACTGTCTCTGGACTTGGCTTTCCAGTCTCACCGCAGCAGGGGACGAGGCACGAGGAAAGAAGGATGCCAACCAAGAAGAGGCGTGGTGACGTAGGGGCCACACCGCGCAAGGTGGCTGCTAAGGGCAAGGTCAGTGATTGGAACCTATCGGCCACTCCCGACCCTCCGTAACACATCGAGGTGGTTCTACCTTGTCCCGTGAGTTTAAGTCAGAATCAATTCACTGGCAGTGAGTTTGGTTTTAGATTGGT